GACGCGACTAACGACCGAATACGCTGGTTATGTCCAAGATGTCATGCATTTGAATGGAAGGAAATGATGACTCGTCAGTCAATAGAATTAAGCGATAATGAGAGCCCGAGTAAAGATGAAGCCATGGCAGAAGACTCTTCTGTTCATGACGATGAAAATGATGATGCTGTCAATGTTGAATTTAATGATCTGAATGAGGAAGAAGAATAGAATCCTCTAATGGATAGTGGCATCATAGCTGAGTCGAAAGACGATGATGATAATCTGTCATGTATAGATGATGAAACGGCTGATCATGAATTGATGGATGAAGAGACAGGCCATGTTTCATATGAACTCGAGTACCAGAAAGATAAAGTAATGGAACAATTGTCGACCATCTTCAAATTATTAAACATAGATTCCATTCATGACAAGTAAGTTCATAAATTTTTTCCGAATATTCTCGAACGACTCTTATGTTTAGATCAGTAGTATCATCCATTCGAGCTAAAGTTGATGAAGTGTATAGAAAATTTCATCGATTATATGATATATTGGATGAAAAACCTCAAGTTTCATATGATCCAAATCCTCATGGACTCAGAATATCTGAATCAAACGAGCTTTTGGATGGTCTAAAAAAATTATTCGTCGAGAGTGATGCCGATGAACAAGTTCGTCTAATGACAATTGCTCCTAAAGAATGGGATAGACAAAAAAAATCGAAAAATGGTGCGTATTCTATCCTCATTTCTTTCCATTTCTTCGCATTTCTTCAGTCATATGTCACTAAAAACTTCTTCCATTTGTCAGGTTCCAATCAAAGCCAAATCAGGCTCGACGATCGCTCGTTCTTCGAAAAAATAAAGGAATGTTAGCTTATCCACAATGTTTACGAGGCAATATTCCTTTATCTGATGCAACGATTGATTCTGTGGCCAAGTTTTATTGTGAAGATGGAATCAGTCGAACCTCATCCAACTCCAAAGACACGATTAAAATCAACGGACAACCTGAGGCAGTTCGGTTTTTGGAAATGACCGTCTTGGATGCCTAACAGATATTCAACGAACGATTTCCTGGAATTGTCGCAAGATCGACCTTTACTGCTCTTCGACCACGAGAAGTAAAAATTGCAACGCCACATGACACATGCATGTATATTATTCATGAGAACATGGATCTGTTACTGAAGATTTGTGTTGATTGTATATTGATTCGATTGTATCGTATTTTCATCATAGGCGTGGAACACGCTAAGGTTGATGAGTTTATAAAAATACGTGTTTTCCTTTGTTTACATCTTGTTCTTTTCAGTGTATAATTAATATCAGATTGAATATCATTTTCATAATCACTTATTGTACGACCACGTTTCTCACCTTGATCATTTTTGTTAGTTGATGGTAACAATGGATATTCTTCATTTGCCTTTTTTAAAAAACTTAATTCAACATCACATCTGTCTTCTATTGTTGTTTTGTTCAGTTGTATTTTTTCTTTTGTTTTCAGGTTCTTGTTTATCATATTAATTTTCACTAATTAATTAAATTGAGAAGTATAATTATTGTATACGATGAGTCACGTGTTCATACACGTGTCACTTATATGTGAACTAACGCAACGGCAACGTAAAGAAGAAAAGAAAAGAAAAAACGTCTTACTAGTATATAATATAGAATGAAAGTGAAAAATCGAAAATACCTGAATGTCGATGTCATATAAAATACGATTTTAAAATATTGTTTACGGCTATAAATGTAACGGCAATAATTCCATAAATCTTGTTTAAGGGAATAAATCCAACGGGAGTATTTCAGCAAATGCAATAGAATACACCTATAAAGATATTTCTTTTTGCCTAGTTGAGTCTTTTATTTGCATTAATAATGTAGATCAATGCGATCAATCGTGCAAGCCATTGACTCTTTGGGTTTTTTTATAGACATTAGAAAGAGGAGTAGCTATTAGAATATATCAATAAAATCATAAAGATTAGTTTAGGGTATCTTTTTTTACTGGCTACAAAAATAGCTGTTGTAAAAAAGCATGATATAAAAGAGAGGATACAACTATAAATGGAAAGCATACAAAAATATTACTCTCTTCGAACGATTCAAACCATATATTTTCGTACTATTATTGCAGCATAAATACTATCCGATGCGTAGTCATCCAGAATCAGATACTATCGAGAAAAATGAAAATAGTATTAAACTGGAACTAAATGAAATTGCAGACGCGAAGTATCAAAAAAAGTAATTTATTCTATACTTGTATGTATTTTTGAGTGTTTACAGAGTGATTCCTCCAGAAAAAGAGAAGTCTATTGAAACAAACTTTTGGCAACGATTTTGTACTAAACTGCAAAACAACAGATCTTCTGAAGCAGTGAGCATTCAAAGTTTGGTAAATGAAAATTATCTCATTCTTTCACTGAACAACACTTCTATTTATATTTCAGTTTCGATATGCTACTTTCATCGACTTATTTTACATGATGTTAGCAACCATTGCTGCTTTAGCTCTTGGTTTAACTACTCCTTTATCGTTGGTTGTTTTTGGTGACACTATCGATTCATTTACTGATCATACAACTGAACTGTGCTCCCTTAATTTCACTTTTCTCAGTAATGAATACTGTCCACGAGACATGATTTTGACGTCCACTAATTTTCATACATTAATGCAGTAAGAATATTCTCTTTAGCACTGGATGACATATATGAATTAGAAAGTAATTCAAACACAATGACTTCTAAAATAATTCGGTTTCTATTACTTTTTATCGGCGCTTTCTGTAGGACCTATCAGGATCTACACACAGCAAATTGAGATGCCACGGAAAGCAGAGACGGAGCCAATCTAAATTTTTGACGACTAAACATTATGTACGAGATACTAGTAAGACCAACAGAAGGTTTGAATAAATTTACATAATACAAGTAGAAAGTAAATAAGATAGACCAGTAATGGTCGATCTGAAAACCGTACCGACACCAGATTGAACCACCCGATAACCAGTATCGGGTTCATCTCTGACGGAAATACGCACTCAGATACAAAGTAGGATAAGAGTGTGTCAATACCAAACATAACTCGAATCTGATATACTCTTAAAGTCTTCACGTATCTCTGGCAAGCAGACTCTATTAGATGGTGATAGATTCCTGCAGGGTCGAAATATTACAAAATGGGAACTCCAAGCAAATTAGAAATTATCATCACGAATATCTAAATTCCTTGCAGTATCACGGAAACGCTCTCGCACCACATCTCGGTGCCAGCACAGCCACCCAAAGTACATCACTCCTACACAAAGCACAATGAAGGTTTCTACCCTCATTCAAGCAATATTTTCCACACAACTCCTTAGTTCCTTCTAAGGATTTGGCTAGTGGAAAATCTCTGACACGAGGTACTGAGCTCCCATAAATATTTCCTAAACGACCCGACACAAATGTCGTCATTGCTGTTGATGTGCAGCCCCAAATCAATCCAGAGCCTATAGAAACGATCAATGGAGGCATTGAGACAAATTAGCTGAGAGTTCCTCAATACTTCATCACTATCTTCAAGTGATCAAGCATCATTTCTTTAAGAAACTGAGATATCATAATTATGCGATGTCAACCACGCTCTCTGACATCGAATGTAGGAAACAACTAAAAGCTAAAGAATTGAAACAATTTAGTGAACAGTTGTCAATTCATGATTTCTTACGCTCACTCAACGACAGAGAGTGATTGAAGCAATCATGATGACAATACCTCGGTTTCTTAGGGAAGTGAGACTTAGTCCCTTGAAGATAGTGGTAAGTTATTCTGCGATGCTCAACAGAATTGCGTTAGTCTCTCAATTCCCTACCAGTGAGTACCAATCAGCGAACAAGTATCGCGGTATGTGAACGAAATCAGTTGCATCACCGATCAAGAAAAGTGCCCCCTGAGGAATCGTCATTGAGCATAAATGAGAAGTGTCGACACCATGAACAGAAATTATTGGGGGAATATTATGAATTGATCACGACTTTCTTGAAACAGTGAGGACATCTAGTAGAACGCATCGCACGACCGACATATCTTTAAAAAAAATTGGATGGAGTTCGTTCTATTAACATTGTCTCCATACCTCATCATTTTCTTCCAGTGATCTGCCATCAATTTCTGCAAAATCTTAAGATGTTCTCATCGTACCTGCGCAAGTACTGCTCTCTCGTTCTTTGATCGAAAGAAGGAAAGACTTAAGGAGTTGAAAGGATTCTGCTGACAGCACTCAATACCTTACAGTATGCCTAGTAACCTAGGCTCAGTTTCTTCAGACACTCGAGGCATAAGGAAGTGACGGTATGTAACGTGGAAATAGTGGTGAATTATTGAGGACCTGCTAGAAAATTGTCTCAGTTCATCAGTTCTTATCTGAGATTGTTCAAACTATGTATGGTCATTACGAAGTATGTGCTCCTACGACAGTTGGTTGATTTTATTAGGATTCTAGGTTTTATCATGGATATTATTGCTAATTCCATCGCGAGGTTATTATTGAAGGACCGATTCCTTGCGGAGAAATGTAAGAAAACTGGGAGTGTAGTTTTTGAACGAATGATGTGTGTTGTTTGGATTAGTTCGCACAACCTACTAGGAGCTATGATGGATTTGTCATGTTTCCTAGTATTGATCCTTCGATCCCTCCAGGAAAATGTTGCTTAAAAAGTGATATATCTCTGGGAAGTTGTGAATTGCTATTTTTAATTTTTTGAACAACGCTCTTGACCAAAGGAAATGATTATTTCATTTAGATTGTGCAGTTTTAATGAATCAAATATTACTACCGTCAATTATGATCTGAAAAGTCGAACAAAAAATCAGATAATATATGCAATAATAATTGGTTGTATTAGTCTTTTTTGTAGTTATATTCGAGTAACATTTATGACAATATCAGCAGAAAGACAAACTCGAACTATTCGACAGAACTTATTTCAATCGATCCTTACAAAAGATGTTGTTTACTTTGATATGCATACGACTGGTGAACTTAATTTACAATTAACAGATAATATCCATAAGATTCGTGATGGTATTGACGATAAACTTGGTTCAGTAGTAGAACTTATTTCTACTTGCACGGGTGCTCTTATCATTGGTAAGTTTTTCTTTTAGAGAGAACTTGTACGAATCTACTTCTGATACAGGTTTTGTAAAAGGATGGAAATTAACATTAGTTGTATTATCATGTTCACCAATAATCATTGCATCCTTTATCGTCGCATCCAAAGTAAGATTCTCTTGCGATATTAATTGTTATCATTACAAATACCTAAATCTGTTTTTGTTTGTAGATTACAACTAGATTGACTATGAATGAAATAAACGCTTATGGAAAATCCGCAGCAGTAGCTGAAGAAGTGATTAGTTCAGTTCGTACTGTTTTGTCATACAATGGACAAGAACATGAAATACAACGGTTGGTATGACATCGTTAATATTTTGATTTAAAAATCTATCTCTAATTTATAGATATGAAAGATATTTAGATGATGCTAAAAAAAGTGGCATCAAAAGACATACAGTCAATGGCATCAACGTAGCCATATGTTATTTGCTCATTTATTGGGTATATGCTTTAGGTATTCCTTCTGATGCCTTTTATCCTTGTATCTTTGTATCTTTATTTTCTACGCAAGGGTTTTGGTATGGAGCACAATTAATTTGGAAAGAAAACTACACTATTGGCAATGTCTATACGGTATGTATAGAGAAATGTATGAAATTTATTGATGAAACTCGTGATTATGAATTTTGTTGCATACAAAATAGTTCGTCATAAATCTTTAAAACACTAATAAATATTGTTAGTATTGTTTCAAAAATATTTCTATTTTTGAATTTTGAAGTCTACAGTTATTTAATTATATTGTTTGACAGGTGTTGATTTTTCCTTGACAAGTGAGAGTATTAAATTTCTGGTATGAAAAAGAGAAGAATCATCTAAATTTATTTTTGATGTTTCTGCTGATTCAAATTAGTATCTAATGAAGGTAATCAAATAAGAAAAAATGCTCTCTGAAAATAATGAATGGGATTAATACACGAAATATTACCCTCTTATTATTTCATTTCATCAAATTATCTTGAGATTTGGGCAGAAAAAGTTCAACCTCACGATTAGTTCTACGAATGAACCGTCATTTAGACAGATTTCGTTCTGAGCATCATCTCCTCATTTGCTTTTGAATGATCACTTTTCTCAATATTTTGCTGTTTATTTGTTTCATCTGAAGATGCATTTCAAGAGAAAAAATATTATATTAGCAAATGCAAGCATGTTTACGCGTTCGTTACAATGTTTTACTCTTCTTAGACGTGAAAAAGTGCTCTTTTTAACATGACTGATAATATGAGTTTTGAAATCATTGATATCGAACACATCTTGTAGGTTTTTATGACTGTTGTCATTGGTATTTTTCGTATACAACGAGCCACTTCATTTGTTCAAGCCTTAAGTCGAGCTCGAGCTGCTGCTTATATTGTATGGAAAATTATTGATGAAGTAAATTTACTTTGTTCTTGTATTATGTACAGACATATATCATCTTGTCTTGTGTTTCTTAATTATTTTATAGCCATCGAATATAAACAACTATTTAGAAACAGGTCTCGAAAAAGATGATCTCATTGGTGATATTCATTTTTCAAATATTCATTTTTCTTATCCATCACGACCTGATATTCCTATTCTCAAGGGACTGTCATTCGATGTTAAGCGTGGTCAAACTGTTGCACTTGTTGGTTTATCTGGTTCAGGAAAATCAACATGTATACAATTATTACAACGATTCTATGATCCTTCTTCTGGTTCAATTTTAATTGATGGAAAACAAATCAATGAATACAATCTCAAATGGTTAAGACAACATATTGGTGTTGTTAGTCAAGAACCAGTTTTATTTCATACAACTATACGTCAAAATATCTTATTGGGTAGTGATTCAGCTACTGATGAAGAAATGTATCAAGCAGCTAAAATGGCTAATGCACATGCTTTTATCATGACTTTACCCGATGTAAGTCAAAGATTTATTGTACTCCTTTTACTTTCTGTAGTCTTGTATGATATTCTACATAGAAATATGAGACTAAAATAGGTGAACGTGGCGCTACGTTATCAGGTGGACAAAAACAAAGAATTGGTAAATGAGATTAATTGCTTGCATACGATATGATGTTTGTTTTTCTCTTTGTATTTTGCAGCTATTGCTCGAGCACTTATTCGCGATCCCAAAATTTTACTTCTTGATGAAGGTTAAATTTTATTTCTTTCTATTCAACTATACTATTCATATTCTTCTGTTCTATAGCTACTAGTGCCCTTGACAATGAAAGTGAAAAAATTGTACAAGAAGCTTTAGATCGTGCTGCTCAAAGTATGACATTCATGATTCAATAAAACTATTACTAAATCATTGTGTTTTGTTTGTTGAACAGGTCGAACAACATTAGTGATTGCACATCGTCTGTCAACAATTCGTTATGCTGATAAAATTATTGTCATGCAACAAGGAGAAATAGTTGAAGAAGGTAATCATGAGTCATTAATGCAAATTAAAAGTGTATACTACGGACTTGTTCAACAGCAAAGCTTACGACAAGCCGAAGAAGAAGAAGAAGAAGAAGAAGAATTTGAACAAAAAAAAGCAGCAGAAATGTTCCTTTTTGATCAAACTAGTTCAGATTATTTCGATATTCGAAGAAATCATGGCTCAACAATAGTTAGCATTAGTCCATCAATATTTTCTTTATTATATAGAAACAGAAACTATACAGTAAGTGAAGAAGACAATGAAGTAAGTAAAAAGACAAAGGTAATATAAAACAGAAAGCAAAGCAGTTGAATATATGAAATGAAGAATGATAATAATAGGAAAAAAAGGTAAACATCATATTGGCTATATTACGAATGAACAAACCGGAATGGATGCTAATGGCGATCGGATGCGTCACAGCTTTGTTCAATGGAGCACAAGAGCCTATGTTTGCTATTATTCAAACGAAAATGACGACAGTAAATAATTATTTACAATAGAGAAATAATATTTACTTTTGAGAGTTGGATTTTATTTGAAAGGTTTTTCAAGAATGTGATAAAACTATTCAAAACCAACAAATTCTTCTGTATGTTCTTCTGTTTCTTGGCTTTGGAATTCTTATCTTTGGAGTTCAATCAGTTCAAGTATAGGATATGATGAGTTATATTATGACATTTTGTTTACAATTTCATTTCAGAGCTATCTGTTTGCTTGTTCTGGTGAAATTCTCACTAAACGTCTTCGTTCCAAAGCCTTTCGAGCTATTCTTCGTCAAGAATCTGCTTATTTCGATCAAGCACAACATAGTACAGGTGCATTATGCACACGTTTGGCAACCGAAGCATCAGCTGTACAAGGTGCAAGTGGCGTTCATTTTGGTATTATTTTTCAAAGTCTTCTCTCAATGATCTCTGGTATTTTTTTGGGATTTGCTTTTTCCTGGCAATTGACACTATTGATCATGGCATTTCTTCCATTTCTATTACTTGGAAGTATTTCAAGAATTCGTTTAACAGCAAGATTTGAAAGGAAAGACAACAAGATTTTAGAAAATGCTGGAAAGGTTTGAAAAATTAATTACTCAATTTTTATGTAAATGCTTGGATTTTATGATAAGTAGATGAAATCATAGACACGAGTAACTTAGCAGCGTCAATATTTTGCTAAGCAGTAGCATTCTATGTTTGAAACTAGAATAATAATGACAAATTCTTACTACCTAAAATGTGTACTCTGAGCAAAGATGTTTTTGTCTCTCAAATATTAGATAGACGTCGTAAGAGAAAATTCGATGATTTACTGTTTCGAATTCTTGTTGTGGAAGCCATGAGACATGTTCTTCTAATGAGTAATGAACACCTTCGCTGTGTAAGTCTTTCTTTCACAGTAAAAAGTTCATCAATATGCATTCAAATTTGTTGAAAGAAACGTCTAATCTTAAGAAACTCTCGCATTAATCTATGACAAAGAAAATTGGTAACGTTGCTAATTGAGCAACAGTGTTAAAACACGAATGTGCAAAATAGTGGAGAAAAAAATGTATGAAAAGTAAAACAGCGAATACGTCTAATGGTGAAAACAAATACAGAATATTTCAAGAGTGACGAGTACAACGTAAAATACGATAAACTGACGAGAGAACTATTGCAACTTTTCAATCACGTTTTCTTCCAACATATGTGGTTGTATGGGATTAATTGCGCTGATTCTATACATCAGACTCTCATCGACTTGTAGTTTTCCTTCGATGCCATGTTCTAGTTTCCGATCTTTTCTTGGCAGAGGTAACTTTTTCTAGCAGTACCATTCGAACAGCATATCTCATTTATCCGAACTTTGAAGAGAATGGAACATGTACCAGATAATTTATTAATTATTTGCTTGTTAACACTACAGTTTTTATCTAATCTTTGAATCGATAACGTACGAATTTTTATTTTGTATACCACATAACTAATGCCGGATTTTTTTTCTAAAGTACTAACGACCATTTTTTGCATAACTTTTTGTCACTTTGAGCTGTCGAGCTGCGGTTTTCACCTTCCAATAGAGTAAGGGGAGGAACATTTTACATATATGAGATTCATTCAGGTCGTGACTTTTTATCATGATCTTATCGAGACTGAAGAATTTTTCGATGTCGCATTCCTAAAATCTTCACGATCATTTCGAATCAAATTATCCCAGATTGTAGTCCATACATTATTCTATGCAGGATATAATTTTCAGAATTTTTTATTGCATTCTTGAAGAATGAGAC